TCAAGTCAAAGTCAATAAAGTCAAACCGGTCAACTCAATTAACCCTTGTATATTAGGGCTTTACATTATGTTTACTATTGTATAACACACTATCTTAATGCAAAGTATCAGTTTGAGTTTTCACGTGTCTGGAAAAAAATCTAAACCCTAATCAGGGTAAGTGATGCAACTACTCGACAAAACATTAGTACATACCCTTCGGGGGAGTTTAACACTCATAACGAGGCTTAATGGGATTTACAAACCTTGCATTATGGAGCTAAACACTCGCAAAGGTCACAAACAAGGTCTTTCTTAATCTCTCTCTTTCTATAATCTCTCCCAAATCTATCTCTAATCTCTCCCAAATATCACTCTAATCTCTCCCAAATCTCTCTCATAACCTCTCTCAATTTTTTATAATCACTCGGGGCATCCCGACCCTTAATTTAGTCAAAAACCGCTTAAAACGGGAAGATTATTCGAAAATCAGCAAAAAGGCGGCGAAACCTATTAAGAACCGAAATCAACCCAAGAACCGAACCCCCTTAGAAGCCGAAACCCTAGAAGAGCCGAATCCGGAGCCAAAGTTGCTTAAGAGCCGAAGCCAAAGGTCCCTTTCAGACTAAAACCCTGAAGACCGAACTGCTAAATTCAAAATTGTCGAGGACTGAACCCACTTTCGGTTCAGATCGCTTGGCTTTGACCGCCTTCGCTCCTCGACCCCCTTCGCTTTTGGTTCCATAAACAGTTCGCCTGCGACGCCTTCGTACCGAGCCCTCCCTCTCGGTTCTTAAGGACCGAACCTCACTGATTCGCTTCTTAGTTCTGGTTTTCGACCACTTTTTCGTTTTAATCCCGTTTTTCATTATTTTAAAGTGGGATTTTCACCCAAACTTATATTTTGACATATAAGATCCTATATATTCATATTTTAATCAAATTTTAGGGGAAATCTTTATCTAAGAATAATATCTTTTGTGCAAGATATTGATTATGAGTGTTGACTTTTCCATAAAGTAATGACACAAGCTATCTCCCATACCTACTCTATGACAACCTCCAGTCACTATTCATCTCTAGCTAGTCAACTATTTGTCCTCTTACACTATTTTCCAGCAAGTTGTCTTAATCAAAGGATGGAAAAATCTTTATCTCTCCTCCCACAATATTCACTCTATCACCAAAAAGCAAACATATCTCTTCCACTTTCCCTCTCTAAAACTTGAAGATTTCAAGACTGATATTGAGCTTTTCACTCACTTTGTTAAGTATTTTCATCCCACATTTGAATATTCTACACACCTTCACTCTAATCATGGATTTCTTACACAAATATCGACATATTAGCTCTTAGGATCTTCAAATCTTCAATCTTCTTCCAAGTGTTCTTGACTTGGAAACCTCTTCTCTTCATCATCCATCCCAAGAAATCAGTTCGCGTGAGTGCATACGCCCAATTTTTCATGTTTTATTAAGTTTTAAGGTGGGGAATACAAGTTAAAACACCAAAAACTTAATTAAATTCAAACATCAGCTTTCAACAGGACAGTTAAGGTTCATTCACAAACTGTTTTTACCAACTTAAACTTAAAGTCTTTCAAAATTTTTTAATATGCAAATAGTTCAGGTTTATACCTTCAAAATGATTACTTGCACATGTTCATACGATTTTTCTACATGTTATGGTGATATTTACAAACTGTCTATCACTGTAGCTACGAACTCAGACCAATCTGTGAATATGAACATTTTCACACAAGTTAGAGAAGACTAAAAATCATAATAAAAATCATGAACAAACTAGGAACATTTTCCAAACTCTCAGAGTTTACGGATTCACTTTTCAACTTTGTATGATTTTTCTGTGATTTTCCTAAAACAGTGCAGAAAAGTTAAAACTAGTGAAAAACTTACAATTTTTATAACTCTTTGTAAAATGTTGAGCAAAGTGTTTATCTTTGATGACTTCATATTTTACATGTGTTTTCTATTGCGATACATTTAAATAACAGAAATTACTCACTGAATTGTAAGAGTCATTTATCATTACAAACATACAAGATGAAACATAATAAGAATAGTTATGTTTATTGTTTGCTAAACTACTACTTACACCGAAAAGGTTTTACACTAAATACAAACCAGTTTCAATTACTACATGGTAAACTATAATAGGTATAATTTAAGGATTTCACATTAAAAACATACTACACGAAAAGGGGATTCAATTCCACCACATAAAAGGTTTAACACTCACAGTACACGTAAACTCATTATCGTAATTTGTGAGACTAGTCTTCATTGTACTCTTAGATTATGGGTTAAAATGCATGTAAGTTATAACCAAAGTCTCCTGTAGGGAGAACGTGATAATTGTGTATAGATCTATATTGAAATTGACAATCCACACCGATGCTGCTTGCAACAGCCCAACCGGCCAGTCGGGGTGACAAATGTCATATCTATTTCGACGCCTGAAGAATGTTGCGTGCAGATCATCTTTATCGTAGTATGGTTATAGCGACTCACATAGGGAGATAATGACACATAATTTACGGGAATTTCTACTTTAAAAAGGGGTTTTATCTACTTAAAACTGCATACACCGTTGCAAGTACGAAACATACATACACTCGGTTTTGGGATTTAAGACTATATAACATTTTATAAGGAATATATTGGATTTTTCTTGGTTATACATATCATTTGCAAACAAAGGTTTTCAAAACTCTACATCCAAAAGCTTATGAACTCACCAACTTAATTGTTGATACTTTTTTCAAAACTACTTGTATTATCAGGAAATCAGTAAAACAGGTAACTAACAGCTTTTGAGGATGGGATGCTACGACGCCAGAGAAAATATTTGTCATAATATTGTAATCAATTTTGAAACATGTAAACTTGTGAAATCATGTAACTTTCTCGATTGTATTTATAATGATTGTATTTACTTTGAACACTATTATACTCGTTGTTGTGATACTATACATGAAGTCGTCCACCCTCGGACGTTTCCGCCATCCTTGGTTCGGGGGTGTGAGAGAGTTTATATATATAAAAGAAATTATTACCTAATTGATTTTTAAGCCCTAAAGTTGGTTCAAACTCAAATTAGCTCAAAAGATAAACACTTGTTTGTTATTGCTAATTGAACATGTCTATAGTGAAGAATAAATGATATTTTTTTTGAATCTTTATTATATTTGTCTTTGAGGAACATTTTTTTCTTTTCGCCCCGGGCCCCATATACGTTTGGACCGGCCTTGTAATCGAGTATCTAAATCGAGTTATGATATTGATCGAGTCTCATGTGTTCAATTCTTAAGCTATGAAAACACCATCTCCACTTCATGTTATAACATGTTAAAATGTGAGAAAATGTGAGATGATAATATTTGTCATCGTAACCCTATTGCTCACATCCAATAATATAAGAAATATTCTGTTTCTTCCTTAACAACTATTTTTATTTTTATTTATTTATTTATTTTTGTTATGATGTGATGTTTTATTTCATTTTTTCTTCAACTACGTATGACAAATGTGAAAACGCCATGTTAAGAGTAAAACAATACTCAAATTGAACAAAAGTTGATTACTTTTATCACACGTGAAAAGGTTTGGGTTGGGATGCTGACATTAATGCTTTAATCTATTAAAATATCATATAAATAAATAATAAATTAGTATATGAAATCGATATTACTATATTAATTAATGATCTTATATCACATGCCATAAGTGATTTGGTTCGTTTCGTAACTATTTTTCTTAATATTCTTTTACCTATTAAGAACAATAAAAAGGTTAACTGAAAACATCATTCAAGTTTAATAGTTATTATTTTTTAATTTTTAACTTTTAATGTTTTTTATTATGTAAAAATATATTAAAGTTAATAAGTTTTTTTTTTACAATTACAGTTCATATAATTTTACGACGATAATCACCTTTTAGTCAAATTAAAATTTTCAATATATATATATATATATATATATATATATATATATATATATATATATATATATATATATATATATATATATATTATATATATATATATATATATAAGTTTGACTATGATTTTTGATGATAAAAAATATTTAAAAAAATGAATTACTAAATCATAAGCAATGGGTTCTCACAATTTATTTTGGTGTTTTCTATTCGAATTAACCCTTCACTTATCCTTTTTATTAAATCAATTTTTTTTATCACATATCATATTCTTATTTATTTTGATACTTGTCAATTTATAAGAATTTTAGAAATTTTATTTTCAACTTGTCATTTTTAAGAATTTCCATTTTCTTAAAATAAAATTCTATAAAATTGTAATGGGTTTATAAGAAAATAAAGTCATCTTATTAATTTGATAATAAACGATTTAGTTTCTTTTGTAAATTTTTAAAAGATTACATTATCTTATGTAAAGTATTATATCATAAAATATTTTATATTTGTATATTGATATTAAAATTTTATTTTTAATAGACTCGTATAATGTACAGGTCTCACACTTACTGGATAAAATATAACTAAGTTCGTTCATATCAACTGGTTAACAGTGATAGCTTTACGGCAGGAGAGGCTTGAGATCAATTAATTAATTAACAAGTCATCCACATAAAACCATTTAAGACATAAAAAAAACAACCAAAAAGCGTAAGTCACTTGCAAGCCCACATAATTTCTAGTCGGTGAATATTCCCAACAAATGAAGTAGCGCTGGCGAGATTCGACCTATGTTGATTAGTACTAACATGTAACATGTAAGTACATCTAACTCAACACATGTTCTTCTATGTGCATGCATACTTTGAAAATGATTTTTATTGACAATGAAGCATTATATACAAAAATGTCATGAGAGCGTATATATAGAGTTTGGTAACTATGTTCCACTCCTGTAGACCGATGATTACGAACTTTAATAAACTTGACCCCATTATTATGTGTCATATATATATATATATATATATATATATATATATATAGCTATATATGTACAAATCCTATATATATTCCATATCACAGGTACGTTCCTGCAAAACTGTACTACATTTTCATCCAACACATCAAATCAAATAAGACTGGATTGGGTAGTTACTGCATCTTAATGAATTGTGTATGTGCGAAAATATATCCGACGAATCCAGATTCTCATGAGCTTCTTCCTTCACCACCACCTGCTGCATGCTCATCAACATACAAAAAGTTGGAGGGGTTTGATGTTAAAAAGAGGAATCATGTTAATGTTTAATTAATGGAGATGAGAGAGAGATGCTTAATTTCATACCTGGACAGTTTTTACATCTTCATCAGTGTCTTCTTCATGGGTGTTGCAAGTGCTTCTGTGATGCTCTCCAAATTCGTCGTTCTTAGCGAACCTTCCCCTCACTCTAGGCCTGCTGTCTGCTAGAGTTTTTCGGCATGCATACTGTAAGAAATTAGAATTTAGGGTTAGAAAATGGTGAAGGAATGTGTAAGATAAGTGGGAATTGTGTACCTTGATCTTCTTGCTGAAGTTTCTTTCGTTTCTTTTCTTCATATATCTATGAATCTTTTCTCTTCGTTCTTCGCTGGTGAGTTTGTTGGCCACTCTGAAGCTTTCCGATTCCAAGCTCGTGATTTCTGGAGGTGCTAAAGGTGGATTGCAGCTTCCGACTCCATTGTTAACCAGATGCTGGCTTTCATTACTAAGTGCCTTAATTTAAACGTAAATCCACGACAGAAAGTTTCAAAATACATGAATATATATATATGGAAATTAACAGATTGATCAAGTTAACTAAAGATTAATTAATTACCTGAAGCTCATTAGAATTGTAATGGCGTGGGAGGGTATCTGGACAGAAGATGCCACTGTTATCACCTTGGAATTCGAGTTCATGAGCCTGAAGTTCGTTTGCCAACGACAAATTCCCACTGAAAATTCCACAATTGTCGACATGTAAGATAGGGTTTGAGTTTCCTGATGGAAGGTAGGGATGATCCATGAAACAATGGTTATTAGGGGACGAATTAGGGTTGTTCAAACGCATGCACTTAGAAGGTGGCATGGAAGATAGGCAGTCGTCTTCGCAGACCATGGGTCCCATAATGGACAAAACGTCCGCATGATCATTTGGATGAGGGTATGAAGGAATAGGCCCATCGGTCGCTAGTGAAATCTGGTTTTGGAGAAGAGAGAGATCGAACTGATCTTGCTGACTAAAGGGATAGTGAGGGAGGGTTGTGAAGTCTATAGGGGCAGAAAGGTCATTTTCTATAAGTTTTTCTTGGAACAAGTCGGTGTTGGCTGATGTGGTGGCGGTGTTAGGAGGTGTTGGGTATTTCATCATATCGGAATTAGGGAAAGAGAGGTTTTTTACGTATGATGATGATTGTTCTTCATAGCAACAATTCAATGTAGATGCAATCTCGGAGTTGTGTATAGTTTCTTGGAATAAATCCGATTCACAGAACTCCAATATCTGAGCGCTAAGAGGACTCGATACTTCTTCCTGTTATCACAAAAAAAACTATTAAATTAATTAAACTGATAATAATTAGGTATAGACCTTAAACATATCAACGTATTGTACACAATTTCGTACATAACTCTTCATTTGGACTTCTATGCATGTGTGATTACTTATCATAGATGGACTTTAATACCATAACTTAAAGCTAACATCACCGTCGATCGTGACAAAGATATTGATATTAAAAGAAGAGATATGGGTGATTACTACGTAGAAAATGACATATTGTTAATTTGTTTGGTAGAATGATTGAATTTAGGCACACGGGGGGAGATGTTCTTCTTGTAGACGTTGACATATCGATAAACGACAAACTATATAAATCGAAATGAAATGAAATAATTTCATTAAGTCCCTCGCTAACCTTATCGTCTTAATTTCAAGATTATAAGTGAATGAATACCTTACTTATACGTATGTACTACAACAAATTCATGAAAAAAGGTGATTTAATTTACCATAGGAGGTTGGTCAGGCGGATGTACAACGTCTTGCAACATTCTTCTTTGTTTATCGAAATGTTTTAATAAAACGAGTCTTAGGAGCAATGGAGATTTGGAATTGAAATCTGTAGCTTCTGAAAACCTTGTCGTGTATGATCCAAGTAAATGTCTGAAACCATCCAAAACTCCATGAGAAATAGTTTTAGATTTAAAAATACTAATAAAAGTAACAAAATTAACAGAAAATTGCTTTTTTGAGAGAGAAAAAAGGAAGAGAGAGGGAGGGAGAGAGACAAACGAGTAAGATGGAACAAACGTACGTTAGATTGGTGAACGAAAGGAAGGTTTGTTATATAAGGTTACATGCATAATGTCCGTACAATTTATTTGTTCTCCTACAACCTCTCGTAGTCACAAATTACGTATGGCTTTGTCCCATGTTCTTGCTCACGTAGCAACAAATCAGTCAACCGTTTTATCTAGTTGAATTCATTTGACACGTCGAAAATAAAATATTTAATAGTAACTACATATTTTTCATACATGCATACATATCTAATGTACATATACAATTGAAAAATTAAGAAACGGATGAAAAGGGGGCAAGTGATTTCCAAAAATATCGAGCTACTAAAGTTTAGATATTTAAGTTCTAAACCACACTTTATTAGGTGATAAAAGGGTATGGGAGAATAAAGTGAACAAAAAGAACAATTGCACACCAAATCTTTTGATTCCAAGTGCGTAGCTAGCTAGGTCTAGGCCTATGAAGTTTTTGCTTTGTATCTACTTGGTTAAGTTTTAAAGAACAAAAAGACCATCTCCATTAGGTAATTCCTTGAACCCACATTCTTCAATCATATAGAAGATAAAAGGAATCAATAAACACCCCACGAAGCTTTTGTTCTTTCAAAGATGGTTATGATGTCTTGGTCACTTATCTCCTCGATCACCGCCCTTTGGCACATCTTCCATTTACCTTCTTTTGGAAAAATGCTTTGCCTTTCGAATCTTGAGATGTATGTTGTGGGTGAAGATTGAATAGCCAGCTTCGATGTGTTATATATAGTTGAAATATTTGCCAACAAGAAAACATTTCTTAGTGCGTTTAGGTTTACAACTTGACAAAAAAATTTGTCTCGATTTGACTGTGCGACATGACAATGCTTATAGATAACCTAACAAAAACTGTGTCAATTAGCAACACGGCTTAAATCATGGGTTAATAGATTTTAACGCAACATAGAAAAAACCATGATATGATGACAACAATTTTAAGATTGTGAAACTAAAAGTTAGACTCATAAACCGAATCCTTACAAATAAACAGACTACTAATGGAATTAACCAAAGTTAGATAGCAAATGATGAAACTATATTATTTCAATAGTAGCAATGGCAATAGCTCGGTATTCCGTTTCTGTAGATGATCGGGAAACGATGCTCTGTTTGTTTGATTTCCAAAATATCAATGAATTACCAATGAAAATGCAAAATCTAGTCACAAATCGACGAGTATCAGGATAACCAACCCAATCAAAATATGAAAAAGCTCGGATTATTAAAAATGATTAGCAGTCTGTAAATGTTATAATCAAGGATTGGTAACAAATTGACTCAAACGATTAACCGCATAAGTAATATCAGGTCGATTAATATTGAGATAAATTATAAAGAGTTGGATCTGTAAAAGGAGCACCATCAAAATTGGATGTTTTGCAAGAAGGATCCATGAGATATTGAGCTGGTTTAGATGCACAATAACTAGTTTCTTCCAATAAATCCAATATATTTTGTCTTTGAGAAATGTACATTCCTTCTACGATTGAGCTATTTCTAATCCACGAAAGTGTTGTAACTTCTATAAATCTTTTAGTTTAAATTGCTTGCTCAAAGTTTCTTTTATTGCATTTATGTGATTTAACGAAGTGCCTATTAAGACTATGCCATCCACATAAACCAATAAATCAACATCATCCTTGTCTTTTCCTTTGAAAATTAAAGTCTAATTGGTATTAGATTGAATAAAACCTTAGGAAAACAAGAAATATAAGAATTTAAAATACCATTTCCATGATGCTTGCCTTAATCCATATAGTGATTTTTGTAATTGACAAACTAGATTGCTCTTTTGTGAAACTAGGACAGCAAGAGTATACGCTTGAAATAATTTCATGTAAACTTCTTCCTCTAAATCGTCATTGAGGAAGACATTATTCACATCCAATTGTATAAGAGGTCAATTACATTGAGCAGCCAAGGCAAGAAGAAGCTTCAATGTTATTGTAACTTCCTGTTTTCCGTGTAAATATTTTAAATAGCAGATAATGGTATACAATCAAATAAATAAATAAATTTAATAATAACTAATGGTTGGAATATTTAAGACATCAATACTTGGTGGTTTAATTGGTATTCAAATTAAAAAAAAAGGGTTGAAAGTGTTCAAGTTGAAACCTGTTATGTCAAGAATTATGTGGGGAGGGACAATTTATATCATTATGGAAAGTTGAGGGCTAATATTGTAAATTCATAGATTGAATCTCCATTAGATTGTTGGACTAGCCTCATGATCGATCCATCCCATACAAATCTTGCCCAAGTGTTAGTCTAAGTAGAAGGTGTGTGAAGGAAAGGTTGGAGAAGAAGTCGATCAGGAGGATTATGGGTTGTTGTGTCTCGTTGGTGAGGTAAGTATCAGACTTTTTTTTTTTCTTTTTCTTCTATTATTCATTTTTGAGTCAATCCGAGAATCCATCATGGCCATTGGCCATGGCTGCCATCATCATCCACCACTGGCCACTGTATTAGGGTGGCGATGGGTGCTAAAATTCCTGATCTAGAAGGCTAGAGCTCATAGAGAAA